CTAAAGTCTTCTAGAAAATACCTTTTTTAGAAAAGAAGTCGAACAATGCAGAGAAGAAGGCGCGGGTATTTGATTTCAATGCAATTTTTGAAGAGACCCGGAAGGTACGTTGTCTTATTGATTCCATGATTAGCATAGTTTATCAAGCTACTGGATTTTGTCAAAAACACTTAACACATTACTAAATTTAGGCTGGCCAAGCTCGTTACGCCGAAGCTCACGAGAAAGATCCAGAGAGTGTGGTGGTGAGCATTATTATGTTCAGAAATAGTCTCTTATCTTAACAGTACTAACATTTATAGCGAAGTGAAGCAATATTTGATTGAAAACTAAGTTTTTTGTAGCCTTAGGACATTTTACGCTGTTACACATCAAGAAACTCATAGCTGTCCCATTGAATGAGTACTTTCCAGAATGATGCAGAAACCACAGAAAAGAGTGCTCACAAGGACAGCGGTACTGTGAGTGAAGAAGATGGTAAGCTGATTAGCTACTAAGTTACTTTCGTAACCTAGTGCATACCGTTTAGATGACTTTCTGCCAATGTTGCCTCCTGGTTTTGTCCCAGACAAAAGCGTTATCATTGGCGAAGAGAATGGTTCCGCTGGTCCTGCAAAAGCAAAGACTTCAAAAGATGACGATGATGATGAAGATTTCGTAGATTATGTAGGAGATGGAGTGAGTCTTTTTTTCGATGGTTGGAAATGTCTCTCAACTTCTCAACTTTTAGATACCAACAGTAAATCTGATACCAACATCTTGCGAAGCCAAACTTGTCCATAGCGGAAAGCCAGTATGTTATTTGTTGTTTTTATTTATTGCTGTTTTGCTGATGAATGTATCTTTTGCTCCGATTCATACCCATTTGACAAGAAAGTAGTTCAACCTATCATCTTCAGGTTTCGGCTTTGCGTTTCGAACCGAATGGAGTGAGGTTCGCTTCCGGTGGTGTTGACTACCAAGTCAAAATCTTTGATTTCCAAAAAATGGATATGAGTCTGCGTGCTGACAAAGAGTTGCTTCCTGTGGAGAGGTAAGAGAACATATTGGAGTTTTTGATGGAAAAAGTTTGCCATTCAGTGATGTTGATTTTCCAGCCATGTGATCAACGATATCGCATTCAGCGCAAATGGCGAAAATATGTTAGTCTGCAGTAGTAAGG